TGTGGTCAAGAATCGAACATGTTCTTTTCCAGCCATCTGTTCCTTTCTTTCAAGCTCCCCAGCGTCCCCAGAGTCTTGAGCTCTTTTGGAAAGTTAGTATTCACTGATGAGGCTGCTTTTCCTTGCCTGCATTCAGAGTTCATGGTGTACTCACACGAAGCAATGAACTCCCTCAAGTAGTTCACCACAAACGTATCACAGTTAAATTAGACTGAGATTTCAGTGACCTTTTCTTTTCTTTCTTTTTTTTTTTTTTTTTTGCCTGACACAAATAAAGGTCTAAGAATGTTCAGAAGATGAGCTGGATGTGGATGAAAAGATACAGACTGAGTGTGTCACAGTTTCCATTAGGAAAACAGAAGGTTTCTTGCCAAATAGAAACACACAGAAAGAATGTTCGCTGCAAATCCACCCCTCCCCTCTCGCTGCTGCTTCAAACTCTTGCCAGCTCCATTTACAAACTCTTTAAGAGTGTATCAGAAACAACATCCCCAAACTAAAGGAAGAGTGGGAAAAGTCGCAGACAAAGCACTTGGTCAGAATCAAGTGGTGGACGTTCATCTCAAACGTAGTCCACTGGCTTTGCTCCAGCTGGCGTCACCTCCGATCTGTCCCTCCCCACTGTCCTCTAGGGAGAGGAACCTGTCTTGAGCCCCCTAAACATGCTGGGCTTTCTCATTGCTGTACCTTTGCTCGTGTTATTCCTGCTGCTTAGAATTCCTTGTTCACCTGAAAAATTCAGCTTATCCCCTGAAACCTCACTCAGACTGTCTTCCTCTCTCACTTCCCTCCTCTTCGTCTCTCCATAACCCTTCCTCTCTCCCCACCCTCCACCCTGTTCTCTACCATCCTGACCCTCCAGTCAGTGTATGTCATCCCCTTCTTCTCTGTTCACGTAGCACTTTGTGCATAAGGCCCTTATAACTGCACACTGTGTTGTTCCATCCTTACTTGTTAATACTGTATTTGTCTCCTTCACTAGACAGTGGGCTCCTCAAGGGGGGAGGTCGTGTCGTGTTCATATGCATATTCCCAGTGTCTAGCATAATGTCTTGCTTAGAATTAATGCTTGCTAAGTATTTCTAAATGAATGGATGAAAATCTAACATGTACCTAGCAAGTACAGAAGGAACGAGCCTTGTCTATATATATAAATATATGTCTTTTACAGTTCATGTCCACTGTCACAGTAAATCCTTCCACCCTGCAAGCCCCCTACATTTTAGTTATTCATGTATTCATCCCTGAAAGTGTCATCTGGAGGTGAAGCACATTCCTCGGACTGCTCAGTCCCACACCAGTGTGTTTCCATTCAGCACAGGTCCTCCTGTGCATGACATTTAGGTCAAGGCTACATAACTCAAAGTGAGATAATCGTTTGGCTCTGATTGCTGAATGCTTTGATTATTGTAGATCAGATGTTGCTGTCTGACTGAATTATCTATCTAGTTTGGCATATTGGAATGATCAGATTGGCTGGATAAATGTCAAGCTCTAGATTGGCCTGTATGGATGGCTTCAGTGGGCCAAGTGAATGCTCCACGCAGGACTTCATTCTTTGACACACGTGACGGTTTTTTACAAAGTTTTTTATGTGAAGATTTTGGAGGACTGGGGCAGCCTTTCATCAAATGGGAATGACTGCAAGCTGGCAGATGAAATTTGGCTATTCCTTGCAAACATAACCCATAGATGGGAGGTCTGTATAAGACAAGCCATGACTACAGAGGGTGAATAAACCACATTTTGATTTGGCATTTTATCAACCTTTGAAACAGTTATTTTGATTATATTATCCAGCTTTCCATTGTTTCTGTTGTTCAGAAAAAAATAATTGAAAATGAAAAGAAGGGCCGGCCCGGTGGCGCACTGGATAGTGCGCCGTTTGGGAAGCGCGGCGGCGCTCCCG